CCTCCGCTTGGAGCTCGGGGGCTTGCTCGAGCCCTGAGGCTCCCGATCTACGACAACACTTTGGCCCGACCCTTGGCTCCTACCTCGCTAACGACGCCAGCCAAGGCCCGGCACAAGAAGACACGCCCTGAGCTACCGAGGCTCGGGGGCTCCTCGACGCTGCCCCTTGGGCATGACATTGTCAGCCCTCGGAGGTCCCTGGGCCCATGCGTCAGCCCCTGAAGCCGACCTCCTTCACCACCAAGAAGACTCTAGAAGGTCCACCTAGGGGAGGCCGGTCCAAGCCGACACAGCCGAACACGTAAAGTGTCAAAACAGAGCAGCCGGACGACGCCCAAGGCTTCTTCGGTTCCATGACACTGCCATGGTCCATAGCACATCGCTACAAGGCCCTCCTGGACTCTAGCGCATGTAGACCATAGATTGGTTCCCCCAAACCGCCATGTACCCGACCTATCTCGTTATATAAGGGATAAGATCAGACCTAGGGGGAGGATCATCATAAGATAGAGCATTCCACTCAATTCCATTCCTTGGCCTCTGCTCAGCAACGAGAGCAAGGCAACCTAGAGAGGGGCACCGAGAGCTCCTCCACCGCATCCCGTCGTCTTCCTCCTCTTTGAGGAGGGGAAGACTCCACCAGCGGCAAAGTAACCTTAGGATTTGCACCGAGCTAACCCCCTACCAAATCTCTCTACAACCCTGTTGTAACCCCCTAAATTTTGGGTGCTTTTGAGTATAAGGATCATCAGTTGCTGGACGTAGGGCACCGATTGGCCTGAACTAGGATAAATCGTTGCATCCTCTCTGTGATTCTTGTGTTCTTGAATCCACCCGAGCCACCGGAGACACGTACTCCAACACCGACTCGAACAACAATGCTTGCCGCGGTTCCGACCCCACGACACGTAGCCAAAGGTGTTTGCCAAACGATCCAACTTTTCTTCAATCATGTTGATTGTAACCATCATAGACTTATTATAGTAAACCTTTAGACTGGTTGATTCCGAAAAAGAAAGCAGAACTAGTGTCAAGAAGAACAGTTGTCTAGCATCCCCTTCCATGATGATTAGTGTGTCATCAGCTTATTGGATGATAGGGAAGTCTGAGGTGGAGTTCAAAGGAAAAGGAAACTTGAGGAGGCCATTTTCTATTACTTTGTTCAGCAAGGATTGGAGGAAGTCTACAACAAGAACAAAGAGTAAGGGTGAAAGAGGGCCTCCTTGCATCACTCCCCATTTACAATGAACTATTTTGCCAAGAACACCATTTAAAAGAACTTTTGAAGTTCTAGAAGATAGTATGCTTTTAATTCAGGGAAGCCAAACATTGTCGAAACCCCTAGCCTCCATGAGCTCGAGAATTGCTTGATGCTCAATTTTTTCAAATGTATTTTCAAAGTCTAGCTTTAGGATTACTATCTCCTTTTTTGAGTGATGGCAAACTGTAAGTGCAATCAAGCTCTAAGTGGGTTTTGGTGATGTTGACCGTATAATTAAAGGTCTAATGGCTTTTGTAAGTATTCGATAATGTATGATGTATTATGGGTGCAAAGAAACACTAAAGGAGACCCCCAACTCGAAAGGTGGATTGAAAAGGCTAAAAGAGCTAGTTTACTTTATTTTCTATTTTGAATTTGAGTATAGGACAAGCGGTAGTATCAAGGGGGATACTAATAGTGTGCAAGAAAGAATCAAGTGCTCATATCCATCTACACCTTATATTCAACCAGCCACAAAATGCCAAGAGCTTCTCATTCCCATTCTGTTCTGGCGTGCGTGGGTCCTCCGCGCTTGGAGGCGAAGCCTCCGCGCTCTGTCTGTTGGGCCGGCCGTGGGAGTTGAGGGGGAGTATCCCCTACGGTCATCTTCCTCATTCATTCACTCCAATCGACTAGCAGCTCTCCCTCTCTCCTCCATTGATGCTCCAACAACCCTAGGGGTAAAATCTTAGTGATGCATCACCTCCTTAGCAATTGGTGATGGAAGATCCGCGTCTTTTTGGGATGACACTTGGATTAGCGGGCAGTCTATCTACAGCATCTTCCCTATCCTCCACAGCCACAGCTCTAACAAGACAATATCGGTTCGAGAAGTGGTGCAGCGAGGCTTCTATGCCTTCCTTGTTCCAAGATTGTCTAATGCAACTGATGTCGAATGTGGCCTGCTTGAAGACATACTCTCCACTGTTTCCCTTACACCGAATGAGGATGTCTATTTCAGTATGTTTAAGAAAGGAGATCGCTGCTTAGACAGCGCTAAGATCTACAAAGCATCCACACAATCTTTTGTTCCCAAGCCGAGCTTCAAGTTTGTCTGGCAAAGCCACGTCCCACCGAAAGTGAAGCTCTTCGGTTGGCTACTACATCAAAATCGGCTCCAGTACTGCATAAGCCTCTACAGGGAAGGCATCCTTGAAGATGACACATGTGTTGTCTTCTATGGGAGTCTGGAGACTGAGGGTCATCTATTTAGATATGACAGAATTTTGTATTTGGCACTAAAACAAATCACTCTTCCGTATTTGGCACTAGAAATTTTGAACTTCCTTATCTAGCATCAACTTGAAAATTCCTTCCGTATATGGCACTTCCGTCCATTTGATGCAGTAACGGTGTCAAGTGCCACCTAAAATAACATATATGCCCTTCTATGTACCAGCAACCTGTAGTGTTAGATAGGAAAAGAATAAATGAACATAATGTCAAATAAGAAAAGCATAAATATCACAAATATAATTGTGATTGAAACATAGCATTTTGATAATTGAAGAGTGGCAATAATAATCAATAAATTTGATGCACAAGCTTCACAAATCTGGCCACATTGTCAGCATACTTAAAAAACAAAAAAAAATGTAAACACCTTGCGTCGAGGATGAGCACAGTGAGCAAGCAAACCAAAGCAAGCGCGTTTCACATGACGGTTTGGTGCGGTCGTGGGCGGTGGACGCGCGGTGGTGTGTGGTGGTGGTTGAGGCCTCCTCCTGTCCTCCGCCCGTAGGGAAGAGCCCTGTTCGGCTGGTATTAAAATCGGCTGATAAGCCGGCTAAAACTGTTTTTTTATGAGAAAAAAATACTGTATATTCTAGCTGATAAGTTAAAATGAACAGTCCCATAATAATGGGTGATCAACTGCATCTCCCTTTGTCTGACGCAGTGACGCTGCTCGGCGTTCGGCACTCGGAAGGCCAAGGGACGACGGGCGATTGCCCTGATGGGTCAGTGCTACGTGGGCTTGACCTCTTGCGATCATGGCGGACCGGACGCGAGCCATGATGGCCGCAGCCCAGCGATCTGGTGGAAGTGGCCGCTGCTAGCTTAATGATGGTTTTGTCTTTGCCGGGTAGCACAATTTGCTCGGACGATGGTGACGTCATGCATTATTGCAGGGGGCCCTGGACCTCGCCTGGGGCTGGGGGCGTTTCTCGGACTCGGTTCGTGACTTGTGTAGTGATTCGTATGGAAAGGGGATTTTTTTTTCTGATGACGTATGTACTCGTACGTACGTGCTACAAATATCATGGCGCGTGGAGTGTATTGTATTTACGCCACCGACAGCATGCAGACCTTTGTAAAAGAAACTAACAGCAAGCAGGCTGGCACAGCAAGGTGTTTACATTTTTTTTTTGTTTTTAAGTATACTGACAATGTGATCAGATTTGTAAAACTTGTGCATCAAATTTATTGATTATTATTGTCACTCTTCAATTATCAAAATGCTATGTTTCATTCACAAGTATATTTATGATATTTATGCTTTCCTTATTTGATATTATGTCCATTTATTTTTTTTCTATCTGGCACTGTATGTTGCTGGTATATAGAAGGGCATATATGTCATTTTAGGTGGCACTTGACATCGTTACTGCATCAAATGGATGGAAATGCCATATACGGAAACAATTTTCAAGTTGATGCTAGATAAGAAAATTCAAAATTTACAGTACCAAATACAGAAGAGTGATTTGTTTCGGTGCCAAATACAGAATTCTCTCTTTAGTTATTGTCCGTTTGCTACAGCTTTTTGGGCAAAATTGGGGTCGACTCCATCCGGGACACATTGCAACTCTAGGCAATCGGTAGACCAGAGAACCTTCCTCCAGCCTGTTTGTTTCAGCCTGTTCGCTTGTTGGTTTTAGCCAGAACTTATCAACAAGCCAACAATGTTTTCCTCTCACAACAAACCAGAACCAGCCGGGCTTATCAGCCCAGAACTAACCAGCGAACAGGCTCTTCCCTACCTTCGTTCTCATGTGATGCTGGCATCTATGGAAACACCGTCATGGTGTTGTTTTTCACAATGAGCAACCAGACCTGAGCCGAGTCCTGAGCTCCTGCAAAGAAGACAGTCGTCCATGGAGCCACTGTTTCCCCCGTCGTCGGATACATGTTACTAAAGTTTAGTGCTCTCTTTTCTGTAATAACTTTGATATTCAGGTCAATCACCGGCTTGCCGGAATCAATGCAAAATCACCTCCCCCCCACCCACCCACCCCCGGTACTCGACTAAAAACATACTTGTCACACGTGTATATATAGGACACGGCGAAGATTGACACCGCATGTTTTTCTTTTCTTCCAAAACATCATCATCGATATCAGTTCAGATTCAACGAAATTTAGACGAAGTCGAAGAGAGTAAGGGACTGCACCACAGGGTTCTAGCTCTGGTTCCGCGGCCACAATCTCCTTGACATGATCAGAAACAGCAGGAGGGATCAAAGGTAGGGGATGGAGGGTGCCAGGCCAACTAATAAAAACAACAAATCTTTTGCCCGTCGCCATACATATTTGTTTACTACTACCAATTTGTCGGTCTTCAGGCCCATCCCCCTCATCAATGCCTTGCCTTTTAAGCACTCTTTCCTTCCAAACTTTATACACTTCTATATGCCTCATATCTCTCTGTCTGTCCATCGGCTAACGATCCCTCTCCCCTGTCTTCTCCGTCTCTGTCTCCTCTGCCTCTCCCAAGCACAGGAGAGGAGAGCATGCCTGGATGTCCACGGAGAGGTAAGATTTCTTCCTTGAATTCTGTCACAGTTCAACAACAAAACTTTCTCCGAGAAGGAATCTAATCGCTGTTCTTTGTTCGTTTCCTTTTGCTTGAAAATTAGTTAATCAAGAGACAGAAAATGGATACCACAGTCCACAAACTCTTATTCTAGTGTTTTAAGTTTTAACCTCGTCCCATTGCGCTTGCCATCAAAATTCTCAAGATTATTCCCCCTCTTTGATCTCACAATCCCACATGCAACAAACCCTAAGTGACAGCTCTGCCTGTTGGACTTCCATCTGCAGGGAGAGACTCGATGAGATCGGCAAGAAGATCAAGCGAGAGCCGGATACAGCCGCCGCCCTCGCCGTCGCTGCCACCTCTGCCTCCGCCTCCACCGTGCCGGCGGACGACCACATCCCACGCCTCCTCGGCCTCGACGGTGCCCTCAACACCTTGACACCGTGCGCCGCGTGCAAACTCCTCCGCCGCCGCTGCGCGCAGGAGTGCCCCTTCGCCCCCTACTTCTCGCCGCACGAACCCCACAAGTTCGCCGCCGTCCACAAGGTCTTCGGCGCCAGCAACGTCTCCAAGATGCTCTTGGTAAAGCTTCAACATGAAGAAAAATCCATCCTTTTCTAGTCTAGTTAAAAAAAAATCATCCTTTTCTAGTCTAGTTAAAAAGATTTCACCGTAGATGGATTCTGCGTAAACGCGTCGATTGTCACAGGAGGTGGCGGAGGGGGAGAGGGCGGACGCAGCAAGCAGCCTGGTGTACGAGGCGAACCTCCGGATGCGGGATCCGGTGTACGGCTGCATGGGCGCCATCTCCATGCTGCAGCAACAGGTGAACGCGCTGGAAGCCGAGCTGGAGGCGGTGAGGGGCGAGATCATCAAGCACAGGTACCGGCAGGCCGCCGGCAACCGTCTCATTGACGACGAAGCGCATGCCACGGCCAGCTTCGTGGCTCCTGCGTCGGCTCCGGTGCACGTTAATGACGTGGTATCGGTGGTGGAGGCAGGCCAAGAGGTCGCAGCCACCGGCGGCGCGTCGGGGATGTGGACGTCGTCCGCGGTGTACGTTGCGGAAGCCGAGCAGCCGGCAAGTACTAATCACTATAGCTCCCTTAACCCAAGTGAGCATCCTGCATACTTTGGTTGACATGCATGGATTTATTTAACATTTTGGTGGGATCACAACTAGTAGAAAGTTTGGGCGAATAAACCGTGTGCAAGTTTAATTATATATACAAGTTTTCTAGAAATAGGTTTATAGATGTGGATATATATATATATTGGGTGACTAAAAAGTTCATCCAATCCAGTATTATGGAATGTATGTACCATTTATTTTCTTGTAATTGTCCATTGCGATATTGTTGGTTGATTAAATTAGTTCGACGAAGTAAGCGCGTCATGATCCTATATATATAAATAGTACAACCATCATCAGTAGGGATTTGGCACTCAAAAGTTTTATGCAAATCCCATAGCAGCTAACACCAAACTTGTGTAGCTCAAACACGCTGTTTCAGTGGATTAGTTCACGCATAGGCAAATGATATTCCTTAATTTGCTTGCAGTGAACAATAGATTTTTATGAATTTATTTATCCTTGCCCGAATGAATTTCTATATCGAGGTTGATATTCCCTCTGTTCTAAAAAGAATAAAAATCTTGCTTCCAAGGAGTTAAACAATTTCAAATTTGACCAAACATATAAAAAAATATACTAATATTTTTATGTGTAATAATATATCACTAGATTAATTATAAAATCTATTTTTATAATAAATTTATTTGAAGATACAAATGTTGATACTATCTTGTATAAATCTAGTCAAATTTAATTTGATATTGTTTAACTCATTGGGAAATGAGAATTCTATTCTTTTTGGGACAGAAGTATATGATAAATGGATCCTTTCAGCACTTAGTTTTCAGGTACTATCTATAAAGACTATTCTTCCATGGACCCTTTATTCCAGGCATTAGTTTTTTTAACAATTGATGCGTATCTATCTGTTGAATGATTAATGATGTCATTGTCCAACTTTCTGTTTTTGGCATTTCATCAGTGAGTTAATTTTTCAGTTTTTCTTTCAAATGGAAGTCTAGAACTGTATGCGGATCAGAGTCTACAGAACTTATGATTATTGAAGCAAAACAACGAAGCTATTATATACTATTATATAGCACAGTATTTGTTTTCATTCCACATCAAAATTTATAATAATGGTGGACACCTATAGCACACTTGCCAAAATGCCATCCATATGCTATAGTTCGGCATTGCTACATTTTCAGTAGGGGTGATATATATAAATAATATGTGATTGACACATTTAATTTTAATTTCTCGACGAGCGTTTTGACCATGAAAAGTTTGTTATCCTGTATCGCTAAATTGGTCACTGAATTTCCCATCTATGTTTTTGTCTGCTATGACTGATCATTTTCTTTAGCTATATATATGTTAATAAACTTACCTAGTAGCTATATATATATTTGACGTGCCTATTCTTTGTATTGTTTTCTATAACATAGCCTGTTCTGATGAAGTAGTCTTAAGAGGCTCAGAAAAAGGATCAGATTCATATGTAGGATCACGTGGTTTTCTTTCTACGTACTCGTACTAGTTATGTATGCCATATTATTACCCCACAACAAAGTAGGCACACCATGTTTATTTCTTAAATTAAGCTTTGCTTTTACGTTATATTATATTTATAGCTTTGTATGTCATGACATACACCACAACTTTCTTCAATGAGTTACGGTTTTAAAATATTTATATTTTGATGCTAGCTAGTTCCTGTGAGTTGCAATAGTGAAAAAAATCACAAGATAATATGTACACTGCTTGCTTGTCAATCACAAGATTCAGAACTAACGTTTGCATGAGTTACAGGGCGACAACACTTCTGTTACTTTAAGGGTTATATATATATGCTGCTCTGATTTTCACATGATTGGTCTAAATTATTATAAAGCGTCAAACAAAAAGTTTAAATGTATACTTTGATGTGTGCACACCTCAAAATAGGTTATTTTATTGGAGGGCAGGGCAGTATATATCATTGTTTTCAGGCAACGAAAATATGAAATCCTTTACCTAGTACTGTTCACGTGATCTTGTATACCATTAGAAAGAATGCTCATTGGCCACTGGAGTAGTAGCAGTTTTCGGTATCTGCATACATATGTATGTCTGCATATCTACTGATCGAGCTGTGAGGTGGCTCTTTCATGCATGGATTGGACGTCAGATGTCAATGACTAGGGCATGACGGCTATATATGCTAGCTAATTGCATTCCTAAAGGCTGTATAGGACGACGAGGACGATCGAGGAGCCTTTCCTTTGCGTGCAGAGTTCGATTGCCGAGAGCTAGCTCGTGCTAGTTGAGTTCGAAGTTGGTAAAGTCAGGTACAGACACTCCACCTTGAATTGAAAAATGCAGCATCACCCGCACACGGGCTTGTACTACATGGCTCCAGGACCCGTCCATGTGTGCTCGAGAGACTTCGCTGTTTCCGAGACAGCTCAGACAGGAGAGAAGCTTCAGCCCAGGACCGCCTTGCTCTCTCGTTTGTTTATTCTATCTACTAGAGAGATGGGGAGGGTGGGGTGATCTGGGATGTATATGCAGCGGGATCTGGTCCACCGTTGCTTGTTGCTTCAGACGGCGGGCATCAAACGATCGATCCCCGCTTGTCTGCACTCAACCCCAATGCCGATGCTTCCAAGTCTTCACTAGACACTAGCCTCGAAACCCAGCACGGAAGAAGATGCACACTCGTACAGTGTCACTGGTGCTCAGCGCACGCATGGCAGCTATGCGTGCAGTAGGCGTACACACACGTAAGAGGGGCGAGCAGCCATGGATACGGTTCTCGCTCGATCGCCGGGATGGACAACCAAGCAAGGACGTACGATCTGTCGCAGCAGGCCATGGCTTGCTCGTTGAGTTCCTGGCATCCCAATCCAGAGGCTTTGACTGGTCGGTGCGGCAAACAGGACTGAATAAGTACAGTGCGGATCGATTTGAACTGGCCGGCTTGTTAGTTAAATCGTTTCTGCCGAAGATAATCTAGCGGTTTCATTGACCATGGAGGCGCCGACTTCACGAATCTTGAGATGCCGCACATGGTGGTGGCAGCTCCACGCGACCTCGGTGCCGGCCACAGTTTGACATGTTGCCATTTTTTTTAATAAAGATCACATATATTAAGACATTAGAACCAGAGCATATAGATTTGAGAAATAAAATCCCAATTACATGGTAGAAACCACCGAGCAGCACAGAAGAAAACTATGCCTACTTCAAGAGACTGCATCCTAAGAGCAAAAACTAAGCAGGTAAATTTGAATAAGTTCTCCAAATTCGAATCTTCCAAAGGTGTCGGAATGTCTTTCAAATGCCCCATTGGGAACATGGTGAACACTATCACTGCACAATGGCGACAAAGACCACCGAGGGCCTCACTTGTGCATTGTAGCTCTGGAGGTTGAAAGCTGAGCCGATGATACAAAATTAGAGATACCTGACTCAGACAAACACCTCTATAGAGACGGCGAATCAGAGGCTGCATCCAAGGATCGAACATGAAATCCACCCTAGCAAGGACAACGAGCCTCAAAGAAGCAGCACAGCAGGTGAGCGTCTTGCATCGCACCGGAGAAGAGCCTCATGGCGGCGGGGGCTGCACTGATGGCATCAGCAGCCACCCCAACGGCGACCGGGCTTAGGACATGTACTCCATGGCAGGCAAGAACAACTTCGTCGGGGCCATGCGAGGGCGACCTGCAAGGCATGTGGCGACATGGTCGACGAAGGTTCGGTGACGCTCGGTGCAAGGCTGCACGGGGGTGTCGGGTGGAGTCAGTATTAGAATAAACTATTACTTTCTTCTGTGAACACACACCAAAGGGAAGGCGACGCCGAAAAGCCTCCCTGCTATGGTACTGTAGCCGCTGTAGGTGCAGGCGCCAAACGGTTCACCTGCAGCACTATAGCCACATGCAGAGGCCGGCGCAGAGTCAGCCATGTATGTTATCTAGTTACTGTTGCAGCATGTGCGCTGTATTAGGACTAGATGGATAGAGTTGTATAAATAGACTACCACAGCAACTCAATAAAGAGAGTTCAGATTTGCCATCTCCCATACAAGGCTTCGGCCAACGCTGATGTCTTATACTGTGTGTGTATGCTCTGTTCTCTCTCTTCTTCAACCTCTAACCATAGTGTGTGGAGACGGACAACGCTTGTTCGTGGTCGGCTTAGCTAGTGGGTGCTCGGCAAGACACTTGTTCGTTCTCGGCTTAGCTAGTGGGTGCTCGGCAAGACCGGTGAGTGGTCAACTCACCTGAGCCGGTGATCCTGACGGGCTAACAAGTAGTATCAGAGCCGTACAAGCGCCGTCGCCAAACTAACCGCTGGCGATGACGGGCGGTTCGAAGATGGACAACAGCAGTGGCACTGATGTGGCTACCCAGCCACGACCGAAGGTCGTTGTTCGTACGGTGCGGGAGGTCAGCGGCACCAGTTGGCCGACGCTGACTCGCACCAACTATGGAGAGTGGTCGGTGACCATGAAGGTCAAGCTCAGAGCCCGACGGCTCTGGAATGCTACAAGCGCCGTCGCCAGACTAACCGCTGGCGATGACGGGCGGTTCGGAGATGGACGACAGCAGTGGCATTGATGTGGCTGCCCAGCCACGACCGAAGGTCGTTGTTCGTACGGTGCGGGAGGTCAGCGGCACCAGTTGGCCGACGCTGACTCGCACCAACTATGGAGAGTGGTCGGTGACCATGAAGGTCAAGCTCAGAGCTCGACGGCTCTGGAATGCTATTGACAAGGTATAAGAGCCGTACAAGCGCCGTCGCCAGACTAACCGCTGGCGATGATGGGCGGTTCGGAGATGGACGACAACAGTGGCACTGATGTGGCTGCCCAGCCATGACCGAAGGTCGTTGTTCGTACGGTGCGGGAGGTCAGCGGCACCAGTTGGCCGACACTGACTCGCACCAACTATGGAGAGTGGTCGGTGACCATGAAGGTCAAGCTCAAAGCCCGACGGCTCTGGAGTGCTATTGACAAGGGCAGCGACAATGAGGAAGATGACATGTCAGCGTTGGAGACTATCCTCGCTGCTGTA